CCTTTGTTTGACTTGCAGTGGACACATTCCAGATATTTCATTCACTCGCTAAAAGTGTCAGTTCGTTTTTAATAAAGTCAAACGGATGAGGGCACATAGCAGAACTCGAAGAATAATGCGTTGAAAAAAATTCCTTTTATTTCTTTTTGAGTCAAACTCGTACATTTGAGAATGCACTGAATGAATATGAAAGTAGTCATTTTATCAAGATTAAAGAATAAAAAGTCAAGTGTGGGAGTAACAAAATGAAGTTTTTATTAAAGCAATAGTTTGATTTCCAAGTCATTTTAGAAGCAAAGAGAGAGGCTTGAATAAGCAAAGATTTTTCTTTTGATAGCCAAGCTAAGAGAGCAAATAGAGATTTTTTTTCTTTTTTTCTTTCCGTAAGTCCAGAAGGCCACATTATCGCTAGCTTTCAAACCCAAGATGACTAGAACCATAGACTGCATGCCAGAAGACTACACGGTGTAAACCCTCCATGAATAAAAAGTACTCAAGTCTCAAGACACAAGGCCCAAGGCTCAAGACTCAAAAAACAACCACGGGAAACTCAGGAAAGGGGAGCTTCAACGTACGAAGAGTGCACCTAAGTACCTAGGACGAAGCTTTTTGAAAACACTACGGACAGTGCGCGCAGCAGAAACAGTGAAACCTTGAAACGGTGGGACATTGGGACATTGGGATATTGGAATATTGGAACATTGAAAGCATCGAGCTCAGTAGTAGGGAGAGTTTACGGGCCATTCATCAGCTGTAGAGGCAGAGCCATAGCAATAGGAGCGTCTCGGGGTGATCCAGCATAGAGAAGTAGCGACCTATCTGGTTAGTTTTTGTCTTGTTTTGTTTTTTTATACGTTTTCTTTTCTTGTAGTAGAGCTTGATAGAGCTTGGCAGATAGTGGCAAAGTAAATTGATTATGTTTCTTGTGGCTTCAGGACTTGAATATGTGGTTACTGCAAAGCAGTATTCATTAGCAGCAGACATTGATAGACATGAGCAAAATCTTTTAGGGACTTTCCGACGTTGATAAGCATGAGACAGGCATTCACTAGCATTTTCAGGCACTGATGATTATTTGTAGGCATTGGTAAGCATGAGCAGATGTTCACTGGTCTTTCCAGAGGTTTGATAAGCATTTGATAAGCATTTGTAGGCATTTGAGTATTTTTTTTGAGTGTGTGAGTGTGTGAGTGTATTGATAAGCAGTAGCAAGCATTAGTAAACACTTTGAGCATTAGCGAGTAGCAGAGATTTCTTTAAGACTACACCCCGTGAGAGACCATTTTGATAGAGTAAGATGCATCAGGAACTATGAAGTAGAGCCAGCAAAAGTGAATTTTCTAAAGGATGACATTAGTTATATGTACTTTGAGACCACCCAAACACTGTTATACCTTTTCAACGTAGTCATAATAAAGCCATAAGAGAATTTTTAAAAGAGATAAAGAATGAAGAAAAAAGAAAAAAAGGAAAAGAATGATGGTTTTTCTTTTATAGTTTTTTGTTTACGTGAGTCATTTTATTTAGGCTAAAAATGAATGATTCATTCCTCTTTCGTTAATGCATGAATAAAAAACTCGTTTTCAATCTTTTTTCATATTAGAACACTTCCGAACGCTCTTTTCTTAAGTTTAGAACGTGGAATATTCTCTTGTATCTTTTTTATATTTGTTTACTTTGCATAATTTTTACGCCTCCTTTTTTTTTTTTTTGATGCCGCTTGTTTACATAAAGCTGACCACGCACACACACAATTTTTATTATGATTGCCTCACTTTTCTTATTTCCAATATGCGTACTTTTCTGTTTGGTTTCTTTGGAAAACGAGTAAAAAAGTAAAGTGAGAATCAAGTGTACAAGGACAAAGGTTGAAAGGGGAAACGACATCTTTAAAAAAAAAAAAAAAAAGCAGCTGATGATAAACAAAGGTCTTTTATCAAAAGACACTAGGCTGCTGTTTTTGTGAAACGCACGCAGTAGTTGTTAATTGCCAATCAAAATGATCTAGACATCGTCCTTTGTTTATTTACCATTATACCTTTTTAGTATATGCTGGTAAATGGCGCTTTTAAGAAATAGAGAAAGACGCTATTCTGTAATATCAATATATAGATCAGCATTCATTATTTAAAGAAATAAGGAGATCTTATAAAAGGACTAAAACATTATCATGATTATCTCTGGTAGAGGGCAAAGAAGAGCCAAATCAAATCATGTGTCAAAACCTGTTTATCATGCATGAATAGTAGGTGATTGGATTGTTAGCTTAGGAAGACATAAGAGTTTGTAATGATCTTCTTTTTATTTTTAGTATACATGAAAAAAGGAAAAACTTTTATCCTCTATTTCTTGCTGTTATATACTTATCCTTTTCCCTTCTGCTTGTGAAATGTAGACTAACCTTAGCGAAGGTTGTGATTGTGATAGATCTAATGACTGTCCGCTCATTTTTGTAGTAAAGCAATGGACCTTTTAAGTCTGCATAAACCATTTCAAATGGCGCTCGAAACAGGACGGGTTGTTAAGATACACAACGCACTTCATGTAAACCCTTCATGGCATGGATACTTGCGTATCATGAATGAGAAGCATGATCAATTATGCGATTTATTGGTGATCAAAAAAGGGGTTTTATGACAACGAAAAAGAATATGAATGTATGAATGTCAAAGGTAAAGGCTTTTATGGAAATAAAATTGTAGCAACAAACAAAGCAAACCGATAAAGAATAATAAGAAAAGGGCTCAATAAACTTTGAATAGCACTGAGATTTCTACCACTATTCAAAGACTCACGGTAATCGAAGTACTCCTGCAGTATACCTGCGTCGTCAGTCATACATTCAGTTACTCTGATAGGACTTGTCAGTTTGTTTACCCATAATAGCTTGATCATTCACTGTGAGTCAGAGAAATGGAGGAAAGCACAGTATTGAAATATGTACTTTGGAAGCTTTAGTGATCTACTTTAGTGATCATTAAGAGGCATACAGGGTTCGTAAATGGGAGAAGCAGAATAAATATACTAACATGCTGTTAGTATCCTGAAAGCCTTCCCAATTGACATAATCCAATGCAGTCATCATTTTTGTCAAATCGACATAACTGGAAAAACGGAACTGATGTTCCTCTGTCGATATTGATAATTTCTTTAACGATCAAGATGAATTTATTCATGGTAAAATCCAGAGCTGTATTAATCACCTTGGCTAATTTTTGATTATGAATAAAATTTTCCAATATGTTTTCGGAAAATACAGAACGCAAAAAAGCGTTATGTCTATGTTTTGGGTATTTAACATATGGCTAAGTGCGAGAAGTTCTTAGACATGGCTGTCAAAGTGCATCTTTTGGATCAGAGTTCACCTATTTACTACATCTGCGCTAAGCGTGTTGAACAGATCGGTGGTATTGATACCATTTTCAAGAATCCAGTGTTGCTGCTCTGGCTTCTCCTCTTACTGTTGCTTTTGCCATGTACTACTGCAAGCCCCATGCATACGTATTTCATCTTCTGATATTTTCTACACGTATTCAGTATAGCTTTTTCGTACTTTCCATCATACAGTATTATAGTTTTTTTTTTTGATTTAATATTCTTTATACTCTAAGAATTTTTGTATTTAAATGACGTACACTGCAAGGAATAAAGAAGGTATATTTTCATTTGACTAATCATATTTTACATTTGATTAAGTTTTACCTATCTGATTCCCAGATTCTGTGAGCAGTCTATCCAAATTTCTGGAAAAACGATCAAGATCGACCTTCCCTCCCTTTTAGTGGCACTGCTTATGTGACGCTCTGACAAAAAAAATAAAGAGAAAGACAGTAATAAAGAACAATGGGGGGAGGGAGGAGGGAGGTATAAAGAAGTGACAAGCCATTATGATTTGGG